CACATCCATTGCGTCTCCCCCATCCACTCCGTCTTATTCCATTTTATAGATACTTTTGACGATATGTCGCGAATAGCGCGTGTATCACAAATTTCTCGTACGTTTTGCAATTGTAACGCGTGGCTGACTCTGATTCGGATTCAGATTTCAAGAGTCGTCCAAATTGGATGGGAAACAGGTGCTCCAAATTAGTCAGCCCAACGTGGCTCTCTATTGATTCCTTCTTGCAGCTCCCTGCTGGGCTAAGAAAAACGTAATCTTTCTGGTTTTATAATGTGCCAAAGCTTTTGAGGCATTTTAAATGTATAATTTAAAGAGGATTGCTGCAAAAGTTGAAAAAGCACATTTTTTTTTAGCAAATTTCTTACAAAAAAAATATCTATCGAAGCATAAACAAATTGTCTACCCACATATTACTCTTAATATTGTTAACTCATGTGTCAGATATTTTTGTTCAGAACGTAAAAAGTTAAAATGGGTAAAAAACGTTAAATGGTTTTGCGTCAATTTATATGACAAGCAGACAGAAAGCATTTTCGACCCCATAAAGTATATATTTTTTAAGAATATTTATATATTCAGTATCAACACTATAAATATGCGCTGACTTAGTTATTTTAAGTGAGGGTGCACCGATTTTTAAAGGGAAATTTGGCAATAAAACGTGGTCAACAACATATACTGAACTATGCAAAATAAAGTACTCATAATTTGAATCATATTATTAACGGGAAATTGCAAAATGCAGAAAATAAAACTAAAATGTTGCAATAAATTTAAAAAGCTTTTAAGAACTGGCAACGATTGCCATTCGATGGCCAATGCACGTTTTTAAACAGGTCTACAAAAATAGCGAAATGATATAATACAAAAAGCAGAACAGCAAAATGCAAAACATTTTTATTTGTTTATTTTTTTCTCTCTTTTTTTCTGTATCTTGTTAAATATACACAACATTCAATCGCAAAATGTTGCACATCGAATATTTATAGAGAATTGTTAAGTGCTTTTCTGGCTTATTTTCGATTTGGCCAATGCTAGTGCCAATTGAGCACAAATAGACGAAAGCAAACTTAAAAACATGAAGTCAAAAGTGTCGCACAAAATAAAAGCATTCACTTCATGTACATGACAGTAAAGCCTGGCAGAGATATCACAATAGCGCCGAAAGTAGATATTTGAATAGCGCGTTCGAAACATAAACTACTCAAAAATGCAAAACTATAAAAAAGGACATCAAAAATATATGCACACTTTGAGATGAAAAAAATCAGAAAGCGAATTGAGATGAAATGGTTTTTTGATGGCACCATATTAAATACTCTTCAAAACAGATTAAAAAGAGTGCATACCCAGAGAAAATAAAAGTACGAAAATAAAGAATATCTACTTTATTAAATACACAGAGTTGAGCTACACATTTCGAGACAGAATGGGAAGATCCTCTGTTAGGGCATACAAAAAAAAAAAAGAAGAAATGAAAATATTTTCATTAAAACTGGCGCCAAAAGTTAGCACATAAAAACTTCCCTTACGCTAAATGTGTGAAGAATTCACGCCCCCCTCCTGCCCCTGCCACTCTCCCCCACCATTCTACCCACAACTTGTTTATGCCAAGTTTATGCGCTTAGAATACGTTTATATGTTTTGCTTAACTTTTACAGGATTTTTTGTTTTGTTTGTTTGTTATCATTTTATATTTGTTGCCATAAAAATGTTTAATGAAAAGTTTGTCTCGTAAAGCGTAAGCCATGTGCATTCAGAGCTGTGGCTCCAGTCTGAGACATGCGAACGAGCCAGCTTTGAGAAATTCTCGTTGCTGTTGATCGTCATTTGGTTTCCCATGCAGCGAAGCATTGTGCCGAGTGGGTGGCCACAAGACAAGACGCAAGACAATGTCTGCCCCTGTGGCAGCCAAAGAACAAAGCTGGGAAAACTGCTCGACGCGAATCAACTCGACTCGACTCGACTCGATGGGAAGAGCAGGAAACATTCCGCAAATGCATTTCCCATGCACATTTTCATGCACGTTTTAACAAGCAAAAAAAAAAAAAAAAAAACAAAAATGCACTGCGCGGAAATGCATATTTAAGCCAAGAAACGGATAGCCGCAGTTATCAACAACAGAAATAGCTACGAGCCGGCCGCAATTTTAATTAAATTAAACCAACAGCAGCAGCAAAAGCCGGCGACTCTTTATTTTATAGCTGCCACCTTCACTTTCTCACACAAACACACATCGAATGTTGAAGGTATTTTTTGTTTCTTTACTGCTGGCTTGCGTGTCACATTTCATTTCAATTGCTCAACGTTGCCACCCCTCAATTACCTCGGCCCCCTGCCACTCTTTGCTTACCTCATTCTTCAATATTTTTAATAAGTTTGTTCCACATTGCCTATGGCTCAGCCTCAGCTTAAGTGGCCCTCCAATCTAGCAGCTCTCTCATGCTCTCCCCCTTTTTCTCTATTCTCTCGCGCTGTCTCTCTCTCTCTCTCTCTCTCTCTCTCTCTCTCTCTCTCTTTCTATCTGTCTCTTTATTTTCTCTCTTTTTTGTTTATCCGATACTCTTTTGGAGCAGTCGCCACATTAACGCTTCACTATATTTTCTTGTAATTAATTGTGTGAATTTTGTTATTTTTCATTCTCTACCTTCGTCAACTCTTTTGTGGTTATTTTGGTTTTTCCTAGCAGCCCCCTTTTGTAATTATTATTTATTTTCAAGGGTCAGTGATTTTCTCGCTTATTTTCTTTCGCCTTCCTTTTAGTTCCGTCTTTTCAATTGAATTTTGCCGTGTGAATTTTTTGCCTAAATACATTTTTATGACGTTTTGTACACGATTTTAGTTGGAGCAGGTCTGGTACAGTTAAGAGCCCTTTCGAAAACTTCTGAAGACTTCTAAGTCCAGCAAGACCCTTTCAGAGAAACTTTTTAATTTGATTCAGCGAAAGATTTAATCACATTATTATTATTTTTAAAAATAAGTGTAGAAAGCCTTCTATGTTCTCTCCATATTGAATAACTCATATATATTTTTATATACATATTTTAAGCTATTGAATTGTATATTGAACTGAGTTGCAACATCGATATCGATATTAAATTTTAAAATGTATTCTTAAAATATGACCACATTCAATAGTTATCTCTTTTAATTATTCCACTCAACTTGCCCCAAACTGCTGCAGAGGCATAAGCATTTAATGGCGACATTTGTCGCTTATTGCACTGCGACATATTCATTGCATTGGGGTACCTTATATCCCTCTCGCCAATCAGCACTGAGCTGCATTAATTATGCATTTACATGTTGCATATGCGAATAGAATTCGAATATTATGCACTATAAGCATTTTATGTGTGTATTAGTGGCTGTGTGTGTGGATCACTAATGAACAAAATGCAGTTAGTGCAGTTTGTTGCCTTTGTTTTGTTGGCGCACAGCTGCTGCCGCTGTTTTAATTATGTTGATGGCGGGAGGCAAACTACAAAGTTACAAATGTTCTGCGACTGTTTTTAGTAATACAAATGAGCGGTCCTCTGTCCGGATCCGCCGAAAATTTATGCGTCTATGAAAACGTAACGAGCCACATTCAAATATTTCAAACACACATGAAACGAAGTGCTATGAAACATGTCAAAAATGCAGCAGTTCCGAATTCTTGACAAGGCACAACTGCCAACATTACTCGAGTAACTTCAGTTAAAAAATAGTCCCACATGTTTGTATAGTTTTGAAAATTGAGTCATTGTTGGATTCTTCATAAGCATTACTGATGCATTAAACGTATAATTAAAATTGCAAATTGTAATTACATTTTCAGGTATCCGCAATCTGTTGTAGATTTTTCTTTTACTCAGCTCTAGAGTTCTGGCGCTGCCTGGCTTATTATTTAATTAATTATGCACTTTCGCTGAACATTTTTATGAGTAGAAGGCAGAAGAAATAAATGATGAGAACAAAATTTGAGCTTTCCTTTATTACTCCTATTTCATTTTTTTTTCTTGTTTTTTGTAACTGGTCTTCATTAGCATTTGCTGGACATCAGATTTTGCCACACCTCCTCTTTGAGTGTGCCTCTTGTTAGACTCGTTTCATTTTTTATTCCTTTTTTTTCTGTTGGCTTCAAAAGAAACGAGCAAAATTGCATAGTTTTTGCATATTTTGCTTCCTGTTCGCCCCCCTTTAGCACAGCTCTTGTTGGCTCTTGATGAACTTGTTGTGTGTGTTTTCAACTCCTGCAAAAAATGAGGCGTGAGAGTGGGAGTGGGCGTGGTCATATTATGGCATCATGTGTTGTACACGAGATGAAATGCATGAAAGTTGTTCTTTTTTTTTTTTTTGCTACCTTTGGTGATTTATTTTGATGATGATGACTCTTAAATTTTCATTCTTTTCCAGCTTCCTGTTTCAAGGAAACTAAATTGCAAAGAACATTTTTTTGCGTGTTACATGCTTAAGTTGAGAATCTATATTATTTTGTATTGAAAAAGTATCAAAAATCGTGCACATGGCAATGCCATTTTGTGTTGCTTCGAACTCGACAAACCAATAAAATTAAATTATGTAAATTATGAGGGGGGCTGGCATTAGACTCCACCCCATCGTAAGGGGCAATTCAACTAATTTCTATTCAGTGTGTAACGATAATTTGTAAAATGCATAATTAAATTTGATTGCTCGATAGTTTTACGAAAACCGCACATTCAATTGCAGAGTATCAATTGAATGCATGTGTAGCATTGTGTTTGTTAATGTATATTTGTGTATTTGGAATATATATTTAGGGTGGATTTTTATACCAGCCCATAATTATGCAAATGCCATTTCACTTTTTAATGAGTTTGGGCTGCTTGCAGGGACTCGTAATCTGGCATAGGCACAACCACCTGTCCCAGTTTATTCCCCTGCCCCTTCGAGCACCCACCCTAAATGGCAGCTATACTTATTATTATTTTTATTTTCACATTAATAGATGATATGGTGGGAGGGTCACTTACCTATTTGGGCGCTGACATGAGCAACAACTGTCAGGCAGAGTAGCGGCAAAAGCCATGTTGCTGTGCTTCTTCTTCTTATTGTTGTTGCTGTTGTTGGCTGCCTCGTAAATCCGATTAGCCCTGGGTTTTTGGGTGAGCTGCTGCTGCTGTTGTTGTTATTGCTGTTGCTGTTGCTGTTGCTATTGCTGCCGCTGTGTTGTAAGCGCCTCAGCAGCATGTTGCCAGTGTTGTAAATGTTGCCAGCTCGTCGTACTTAATGTTGCCAATGTTGTCGCTGTTGTTGTTGTTATTGCTTTTATGCACTTGCCTTGCCCCACTCACGCACATTCAAAGAGGGTGTGTGTGTGTGTGTGAGTTTTGTAGGGTGTGTGGGGATGGGGTGGTTTTGTCGTTTTGGTCGTTCGTTTGTCAGTTGTTGTTGTGTCGTTCTCCTTGTCAGATATCAGTTCAGTTGTTGCGTCGCTTTGGCATTTAGTTGATTTTTATGGTTGTTTAATATATATATATATATATGTATATATATATATGTATTTTTTTTGCTGTTGTTTTTTGCGTACTTTTCTTGTTTACAATTTCATTTCCTTTGCACTTTGCTTTACACTTTTATGCTTTTCTCTGATTTGCTGGCCTTTGTGTGTTTTAGAACTTTGGTTTTAAATTTCAATGATTCAACATTTTGCAATTGGGCTGCAAAGATAGATTTAACAACACGAAAAAAGAAATAAAGAAAGCAAAAGCAAATTTACATATTAATATTGTCATCATTGAAGGATAAGCTAAAAGGATGAATATTTTATTTATTTAGTATTTCACGAACTTTTAAATTCGTTTTCCATGTTTATTCATTTGATTTATGTTATTATTGATTAAAGATTACTTAATTCATTCGCAATATAATAGCAATCAAAAATATATTATTTATGTATTTTATGAAGTCTTTTGCAACGTTTAAATTGAAAACATTTTAAATGCAATCCTCTGTTATTTTATTTTATTTTATTTAATATATCCAGTTACCCGCATTTGGATATGATTCAATTACGCACACTTTCAATTGACATCGATACGTGCCTCAATATGCCTGCCGCTTGCCACATGACATGATTATCTTTTTGTTTGAACTTGTGATTATGTATTCACACCTGGCATTCAAGAGCTCTCAAGCTCTCAGCTGTCAAAATCATATTTCACACGTGTCCCAATTTAAATTGATATGACTTCAGATTTCAATTATTTATTGAATTTATATTGTTGTTGTCTGAGCTGATAGATTTCATTACAGCAATTTCGTTTCTTGTAGATTGTAAAGCACTTCCAAATAAAATGGCAACTTTGAAATGAATACATTGGATACAATTCAGTTCTACAGCAACAGCAAACTCAATTAGCCTGCTGCGAAACTTAAGCCTAATGATGAAAAGTTCCGAGAAATATTTCAATCAAATTTTTGCCAAGCCCGAAATTTATATTTTGTTTTGGGTCAAAGACAAACAAACAAACAAAAATTCAAGTCAGTTTTATTGGTTTTACTGAACGAGAAGACAGCTTTGGTTGGATGTTGGGTCAACTTCCTAAAAGTATGCTGAAAAATAATTTTCGATTTCTTGCTGCTGTTTGTTTGTTCAATTCAAACTGGACTAAACTGAACTGAGCTGGACTGGACTGGACTGGACTGAACTGGACTGTTGGGGCGATTTGTACATATTTTAGAGGCAGTCGCTTATTGATTTCGTCGAAGGCCACACACACGCGGCGTATGCGCAATATTTGCCTTCTGGCACTTGGCAAGCGAACGAAGCGGGCAACATAAATAAATAGCGAGGAATGCGCACCCAAGAGCAACAAAAACAACTACAACTACAACAACAAACAAATAATATTAACCAAAAACTTAGCCAAAATGTTGTTGATGAAAACGTGACTGGACACGTTGAGTGGACCGAATACGCACACACAAGCACAAATACAAATACAAATACAAATATAAATACACACACACACAAGTCCAAATACAAATAAAATCATCTAGTATATAGACTCGTTTATATACAGAGAACTTGGTCAATTTTTGGCACACAGTGACCACCAAAAGTCAACTTCTTGCCCCCATCCTTCTGCCCGTGGGCGTACGTGGGTGTATGAATTATATATGTATTTATGAATTTTATATATATTTTTTCATTTCGTGAGTTTGCTTAACTTTTTGTCTGTTGCTTTTTAGTTTTTGACGTGTTATTAAAAACTTATTTCATCATCAAGTTCTTCTATAGTATGAATTCAGATTGTCTGTTTGATTTTGACAGCAGCGCGGAAGCTGTCATAATAATAAAAATAATAATATTGATAATCAATTCGTTATTTCAGCTCTAAATAAAATGTAAAATCACTATTATGGATAAATCAGTATTTATGGCGAGATAAATGTATTCTATAAATTTAAATAATACATGTCAAAATGTACCAAGTAAATAATTTATTCTTGTTATGCTATAAATTATTATGTCTGTTATTTTTTATGCTCAGCTCAGATCCACAATTTCCTGATACCTTACTAAGCATTTCCCATTGTTGTGTACACCTGTCAGTCCAACTTCTGTTCAAGAATCATTTTCAATGAGCTTTCCCTTGGCAAATTTGTATCTCATCTTAAAGCCATTTGCCTTAAATGGCCGACAAGACAAGCTGCCAGCCAGCTAACTAGCTGTCTATTCATGCTGACCTCTTACGTTAACTCTCCTCCCCAACTTCTGCCCAGACCTAGTCGAGTCCTGAACGTCCTTGATTGACAGCCGCTTTCTCTGCTGGCGGCCATTAATCAGCTTAAACAGCTGGCGCTTGCAAAATTAAAATATTTGCTGAAGCAGCCAAATGAAGTGGAATTAAATTGCACAAGGGGTGCCCGGAAACTGTCCCAAAGAGTAATTGGAAGTGCCTGAATAATATCTAAATATATTTAACTCTTAATAACTGAAGCAAGCTTTCATCTATTCCCTTCATTCTATATAATTTGCATATGTTCCGGATTGTCTTTGATATTATTTAGAGGAGTTGTTGATATTTGTTTTAATTTTTTGGTTGATTATTCGTTGATTTGAGTGCTTTGTGTTTCGTTTCATTTGTGATTTATTTTTGGCAGCATACGGCTTCTTAATCTCTGTTGCCGTGTCCTTCAGATCCATTTCCATGCCAAGTACCACATTATTTCCCGTTTGGTGTTGCACGCACACACACAAACATTCACACATAGATATGTTGTGTTGCTTCATTTAATTTCGTATTTCGTTTGCGACATTTCTCGTTTCGTGTTTTTCCCGTTTTTCTCTACCTTTTCAGCATTCTTCTGGTTTCGTGGCAGCCTCTCGCTTTTGGCCTTGTGGTCATTCAACTGTAAGAAAGCCAAGAACAGAGAGAAAAATACATAAAAAATTATTAGATTTTTCTTATTTGTTTTGTGTTTTCTAGCGACTTTTTTGCTCATAACATAATGGGAAGGTGGGGAGCAACTAAATTGCTTTTGTATGCATATGCTGGATGGTTGGCTGGATAGATGGATGGCTGACTGGATGACCGAACAAACACACACAAGTACACACAAGAACACACACACACACGCACACACAACTAAACACAATCGTGGCAAATTAGGCAGAAACATATTTAAGGCGATTTTCTTGATGAGATATCGCTTAATGGTTTGCTGTTTATCTTTGCACGTTCTCTGCGGCCCCTAATGAACAGTCAGCAAGTCACAAAAACTTTTACCAACCCCCCGCTCACCCCTCCACTCACATGAAAGGAAGAACTCAAGGCTGAAAATGTGCTCGTGCTCAGCGGGATGCTGCACATGAAAATGTCTGCATATTAAGTATACGCATTACGTATACGTATAAGAATGCTCCTAAATTGCCATCAATAACAACAACAATCGCAATGGGACGCATAATATTGATATACAATCCAAAGATTGTTCAGTTTGTATTTTATCGAAAGCATTAGGGAACAATAACTTAGTGAATAGACTTTAAATATCATAAACTGCATGTTTTGTGCTATGCGTCTGCAGAAATTGTTGAACTATCTGAAATGAATGGGTGAAAAAGAATCCCAACGAACAATAGAAAATGAGATGGATTTGAAATCGAGCTGTGAATCCAGTGTTGGCAACACATTTCACACAACTAAACGTTGTTACCTGTACATTTGTTGTTGTTGGATTTGAAATCGGTTCGGAAAATGAAATATTTTGTTTGCACTCCCATTAATGGCCCCCATTATGCCAGCTGAAATGACAAAAAAAAAAATACAGAAAAACTGTCAAATGAAAGCGATTTAAGACTCAATTGCGTTTTGTTGGGAATGTCTAAGTGCAAAAGTCGCTTTCACCGTTAGGTATTTCTTATCAATTCCCTTCGCATTTAAACGGTTCATTAAAACGCTGGGAAAACAAACCCAACCCATATAAAAAAAGAGAGAAAAAATTGGCAATTAAATGCTGTAAAGTGCTATGAAATATATTTTCCACGCTAAAACTGAAGCATTTAACAACTGCTTCATAGAAAGCTTTGTTGATGGGTTTAACCAAAAAAGTTTTGCGAGGAGGCTCTGAAAATTATTTGAGTTATGTTTATGGCTTTGAAATGCGTCGAACGCGTTCGCAACACGTGAATCGCGCATTAAAAGTATTAAATTTTTTTTCTTTTGTTTTTTGGCACTTTCATAATTTGCACAATATTTTAGGAGACGCGAAACGAGCCATGTTGGAGCGATGAATTGCTGGCCAGGATCACCAACTGGCTGACCATATTGTTTATGGCCGGTTCTGCGAGTGGATAAGCCAAAAGCGTTCGTCGCTTGCCTTTGGCTTCTGCTGCCAGTTTTTTTTTTTGCCTGTCTTTGCCTGTGGACAAAGACAAACCCATAAAAATGTCACAATTCATCAACGCCGCTAAGTAGTTTCGTATTTTATAACGACCAATGGAAGGAGCCAACTTTTTGTTATTTTTTATTCCTCCTTTCTTTTCATTCTTTGCTCTGTTGACTTCAAATTTTGAGCGCTTTCAGCGTGACCTCAGCGCTTTTTTCGTTTTTATTTTTGGGAAATGGTTTTGGTAGTTTCCTCGTCCTTTTTTCTAGGTTTCGCCTGCGGGCGATAGTGTTCTAGACTTTATTCACTTATATGAGAGAATAATATGACTTCAGTAGAGCTCGTCCTTCATTTTCATACTTGGTGACTTGTTTGCCAATATTAATATTTTTTTACCCTCCAAAATGTACATACCATGCACCTTAATGGTGTCGCTGCATTTAAATAACTCAAAAATACATCTTGAATTTTGAGAGACAATGAGTATAATCTGGGATTTTTTTTACTTTCCACCAGCCTCTGCAAGGGCATAAGTACACAGTACTATTCTACTCCGCTGAATATGCAATACTTCCTTAATTCTAATAGTTTCCGAAACTAATCTGTTATATTTTGTAACTATTTTCTGGTTGGGCTCATCATTCGGCTGAACTCTTCGTAGTTCAAAAACCCATCTTCATCGTCGTCTGCTTCGCGAATCAATTCTTCAAGCTCTTCATTTGACGGCTTCATGTTGAAGGCTATTAGTACGTCCCGCAGCTGATCGACACCTATATAGCCGGTGTTATCCCTGTCGTAGACACGAAATGCCTCGCGGATATCATCCTCCACTTGATTATTATTCAGAATATAAAGTATCATGCCAGCAAACTCTTGAAAATCAATAATCCCATTGCCATCTGTGTCCACCTGGTTGATCAACGCCTGCAATTCGCTTTCATTATGGGTCTTGTTGATCTTACGCAAGAAAGCGCCCAAATCTCTTGCTTGAACCGTACCTTCCTTATCTCGGTCCAAAAGGTCAAAGGCATCCCTTAATACCCGTAACTCACTCTCAGATATATCCATTACAATCGCTCTATATAATTTTGTATATGTGTTTTAATCGAAATAAGGAAATATTTCCCACTGTCTATCATGTGTACTTCATCACTTTTTCGCCTACTTTTATTGAAATATTCGAGTTTTCATTATTAGTTCAGGATGCTGCTACACAACCCACAAATTATGTTGAAAGGCAATTGTTCTTGTTATATTTAATATATATATTTTTCCACTAAACATACATTTAATTTTAATTTTTGCTACTACATTTATGTAATTATTCGACTTCTGAGTAATCCCAAGTGTGTGGATCGAGCTCGAAGCGCTTCAGGCGCTCATGATACTGTCCGAAGAAGAATGCCTCCAGCTGGTATGTCTTATAGACGCGAAAGAAGTCCTCATTCACATATCTATTGTTCCACACCCAAATGCATTGGTGTGGAAAATATTCGATTATTTCGGCCCTGCCAGACTGATCCAAATCGCACGGCAGATGAATTGTATGAAAATCAAAGGGCAACGTGAATTTTGTATCGCGTTTTTTGCGGATAATACCTGGCTGGGTTGGCGGGGATTTGGTTTGAGCTGGCAATGTTGTCACTGCCGTATCATTACTCCGCTTACTCAGATTATTCTCTTGAGCAACATCAGTGGTTGCTTTACTGGTTTGATTAGTATGATTTCTTTCCACACTCTTTGCTAATGTGACACTGGCCAAGGCTCTAGCATTGCCAAATGGGAGATGAGTCTGAAAATGAATACCATCTCTGTTATTTGAAAGCTTTTGAAGACTTTTCTCTCTTACCAATGCAATTAGACAACAGGAAAGAGCTGCCATATTGAAATTTGCAAGCAACTTCATAACGAAATTTGAAGAACCTCTCTATTAATAATCTAGACTTTGATTCGTAGTGCGTTGTAAGTTATGTGTAGAATAGACAGACATTTAATAATATCAGTATTGACAACAAAGACATAAGGAAATTTAACTCCACGCCATCTGTTTAACAACTCTTACAATACAAAATTTTTATAGACTATCACTAGACAAGGTATATTTATAAACGTAATGAAGATGGTTCGCAACACTTCCAGTTACAGTGTAGTCTGTATATATATTTCAACGAAACGTACAAAGAATTTTATTATGGTTATATACTATACTGTGAGTATCTAGACACCAGTATCGCCGTAGTCCCAAGTGTGTGGATCGATCTCGAAGCGCTTGAGGCGCTCATAATACTGCCCAAAGAAGAAAGCCTCCAGCTGGTATGTCTTATAGACGCGAAAGGTTCCCTCGTGCGCATATTTATTGTTCCACACCCAAATGCAATGATTGGGAAAACTACTGACGATTTGCGCCCTGCCACTTTGATCCAAATCGCATGGCAAATGCATTGTATTGAAATCAAAAGGCAAAGTCATCTCAGTCTCGCGTTTCTTGCGAATAATATGGGCAACAGGAGTTCTCCCTGTCGGCTGGGAAATCTCCAGTGATTTGGCTTGAGCTGGCAGTCTAGTTAAAGCAGTATCATTGCTCCTTCTTGCCGTATGATTCCCAATCACACTTGTCCGCACTTGCACCGCTGAGGTGCTGACCAGAGCTCTTGCATTCACATACGAAATATGGGTCTGAAAATTTACACCAATCGTAGAGAATAAGTGGAGTCAAAGCCTTTCACTTTGTAGCTTACCAGTACGACAACAGCACATAGAAGAAACATTGAATTTGGAGGATACATCTTAATACCAAATAATGCGTTCTCATAAGAAATAAACTTAGAAATTTGACAAGCTGTGCAATAAATACAGTAACTCTACGCCTGCTAATTATTGAAAATGGTCGAAAATTGATGGAAAAGTAGATACACTGCACATTGTAAAAATTGCTAGCTGGGAAGTAGCAACATTTTGACCCTTTAAAGTATACACATTCGTGATCGGAAGTAACAAAAAGTCACATTAGGCCATTTTGCGATATGTGCATTGTAAATTCAAAACTTTTCAGATTTTGGCATAATCGTTTGACAGAAAAGACTTCAGCCGCTTACCAACTTCTAACATGATCTAATCCAATACAAAAAGGCAATGCTCGCAGTTAACAATATATTTTCATCTACTATATACATATACTATCTATACTGTCGATGAAGGATTCACGAAAACAACAACAACGAGAGCATATTTTATAAAAGTGTCAGAAAAGCTTTTAAAAATTGTTTACCGCACTCGCTTGCTGACACTTTCTTTTTCTCCCTGTGTCCCTTTCTACCTTTCTCTTTCTCACACGCTCTTTGAACTTTTTATTAAAATGCATTTAAAGCTGCATTTTTTTAAGAGTTTTTCTAGCCCTTTTTTCGATTGTTTTTGTCGCTGCGGCTACTACTGTGAAAAGCTCATGCATTTCAGTTTTTTATACTGTTTACGCTATTTTAACTTTATTGTTGCCGTTGTTTTGCGTGGCCAACAATGTTGTTGTGGTGTATGTGTGTGTGTGTGTGGATAGACATGGCAGAAGTGAAATGGTTATCGCGCTTGTTTGATTTAATTTATTGGCTTAGCGCCATTGTGGCCTGATGCTCAACACTTTACACACAGCATTTTTGTTTTTGTGTACCCCCGTAGAGGGAGAGGTGCAGCGGTGGGGTTGGTGGTTGGCAACTGCCCCGGAGTGGCTTTTTGGTGATACCAGCACCGCTTCCAGTCAATCTACTCGACGCCCGACTTTACTGTTCGTTGCACGTTGCTGTGTATTTTTTTCAGCTCGCACTTTTTTATATACGTAATTATTTTTGTTTCTGTTTATTTTTTTACTTTTTTGTCTGCCTGGACTCACTCTCTCTCTGTATCTCTATCTGCTGAGCTTGTCTTGCTCTTGGCTCTGTGCTTTGGGAGGAAGAAGCTCTGTGTATATATATTTTTAAAAATGTTATGTTTATTGGAGAGTACACAGTGTCTAGGTGCATCAGCCATGCTATTTTTCAGTGTATTCCCTTGAAAGTGGCAATGACCGAAGCGATAATTTAATATTATAAGGAATTCTTAAATTCTTTTACAAAATTTATAGTTTTTACACTTCCCAAACTTATGACAAGGTGAATATTTATATGTCAGGGTATTTTTTTATATAACAATTACCGGAATGCGAATAAGGCATAAATCATTTTACAAGGTAGAAGCTAAAATAGAATAATAAGAAAAATAATATTGTAAAGTCGGATGCTCTAAAAACATATAAAAAAAGAACCCCTGCAAGCAAGTTGGTATAATGTTTACAAAACTTAACAACACTTTTCAATTAATTGCAGCTTTGAATCTGGTCTATTAAAGAGTCTTTAGAAAAGCCCACCCCAAATGTTGTCAACACGAACTGCACCACAACAATGAGAAAATCATTTGGCGAATAGCAACAGAAAACACTTGACGAGTGCCTCATTGTTTAGCGACCCTTGACATTTAGCGACGTTTTCGTGTAAATTGAAATACTTTATGTTAACATTTGTTTTGCTTTCCACTGCCAGCAACCAAAATAAAAAAGAGCTTTAGCCAAGAGTGCTCGACTTGCAAATATGCTTTAAATATCGCTTGCTGATATTCGAGTCAAAGGGAAGTGATTGAAAACATCAAATTAAATAAAATAAGAAGGAGAACAGATATGATGTTGGATTGATGCGATGGTTATCAGAACTTTGGTGAATAAGATACTTATCAAATGAGACTAAAAATAAACTCTGCCAAATCAGACATATTGACACTGATGTCGATAATATTGTTGTTGTTTTGTGAGGGTGTTTCTTTTTATTTGCTTATTGTTGTTGTTTGTGCTGTGGGTTTTGGCTTTAATTTAAATGTTGAACGCACTTAGAGCCATTTACGTGGCATACATAAAAGACGGCTTTCATTTGCCTGTCTCGCAAGTCAGATGTCACATACATTAAAGTTTGATTCGGCAGCCTGTAAACACCAAACAGTCACCAAGTCACGCACACACACACACACACACACACATACACACACACACATACATGTGGGGGTGACACACACACATAGAGAGAGACATGTCACAATGTAAGATGGGGGGAATTGGGAGACTGCCAGGCTATTTGCTTGCCCTTTTCTGACATTTGCTGCCAAAGTTGATATTATTAATTTACAGCGCGTACCATGCGAGGGAATGTCGTTACTACCCGCCCCCTACCCCCTCACCTACCCTTCCCTCTCCCATCAACCACAGTTCCGACCCCACCACAAAGTATGCCACACGCATTTCCCTTGTCCTTGTCATTCACCGGCAAGTTTGTCTGCAGATAGAAAGAGAGAGAGAGATGGGGCATGTGTGTGTGTAAGTGTATGTGTGTGTGTGTTGAGGTTTTGGCCACACGCTTACACACAACGGTGCCATAATCATAAAATCATTTTATTGCGCTGGCAATTTCATTATTTCGGATTTTAATGTAATTTCTCCCAGTTGGATTTGATGCGCAAGTTTCGCCCGAGGATCTGACAGAGCCTGTGGCAATTGAGCCGGCAATTGACTGGCTCCTTTGGCAATTAGAGGCGCATGGTCCGAATGACACAACTTTTCAAGTATTTTGACTAATTAATTTGCAAAACTCATTTCACTCATTGTCCGCAATTCTCCAATGTGTGCTCAACACAACTTTGCGTGCCACAAGTGCTACAAAAACACACACATAAATAAAAACAAAACATAAAAAAAGAAGCAAAGGCCACCCAGATAAGTTCCACGAGTTGTAAGTGTAAAAAGAAAAACTAAATCCATTTAATACACTTCGTATTCCAAATAGTACTCGTCGAATAATTCATGTGCATGTGTGACAAATTTCATAATATAATTTTGAGCCCAGCAGAAGGGTAGCTGCACATAAATTTAGATTAACAAAGGTAATACCCCTATGAACAGTACGCATTTGAATGCATGCCTGTCGTAAATTCATCACCAAATATCAAAACACACCATCAGCAAAGCTAAACAAAAAAAAAAAAGAAAAAAAGAGAAAAACCAAAACAAATAAATAAAGCAAGCGTGAAAAATGTTCCGTGTGTGCTTAAAAATTTGCGTGCTTTTCATTTATCCCTTTTATTATTTCCACTGGATAACAGTTGGAACAGCCACACACACACATACGTATTTATAAAGCAACTTGGCAGCCCTAGAAGTTCACACACGCTGCTCAACACTGGCACAGTATTGCACAAATTGCAGTGCCATATTGCCAGTCATAATAGAATATTTCACGCCAAAATAATTTCAATTGCTGTTTTTCCTTTTTCTTTTGCAACTTTTCCAAGTGGCTTTGCCAACATGTCGCGACATGAGAAAAAAACAAGCTGTAATAATAGCGATTCAGCTCGATTATGATATGCTCCTAAAAACTTGTTAATAGAGAAACAGATATTTTGAATATATAAATATTCAGATTATAATTATTTGCAAATATCAATATGGCAGCTCTTTCCTGTTGTCTAATTGCACTGGTAAGCCAGAGAAAAGTCTTCAAAACCTTTCAAATAACAGAGATGGTATTCATTTTCAGACTCATCTCCCATTTGGCAATGCTAGAGCCTTGGCCAGTGTCACATTAGCAAAGAGTGTAGAAAGAAATCATACTAATCAAACCAGTAAAGCAACCACTCAAGAGAATAATCTGAGTAAGCGGAGTAATGATACTGCAGTGACAACATTGCCAGCTCAAACCAAATCCCCGCCAACCCAGCCAGGTATTATCCGCAAAAAACGCGATACAAAATTCACATTGCCCTTTGATTTTCATACAATTCATCTGCCGTGTGATTTGGGTCAGTCTGGCAGGGCCGAAATAATCGAATATTTTCCACACCAATGCATTTGGGTGTGGAACAATAGATATGTGAATGAGGACTTCTTTCGCGTCTATAAGACATACCTGTCTGGTATGCATAACAGCATAACAGTAATTAAATGTTAAAGCAACAGCAAAATTAAATGTGTAGAATGTCACTCGTAATATGGATAACAGGCTACTAGTGACGTAGTAATCGTACTGCAAAATAACATCTGTAAATAACATTGATATCGATTTCGACCGATAGTAACCAACTTGCAGAAAAAGAAGAAGTCAATCGTTGTGAATAAAGTAAAGTAATCGGACTTGTATAGAAAAGAGATATAATTTAATTTTGACTGCTACATATCTTAAATCAAAGTTTGTTTTTACTAAGCATCTTCTATAAACAATAATGCACTTCTGAATCAATTTGTAAAACATATAAATAATTTATATACATATGACAAGCAGACAATTTTTGGTCTCAATGCAAGCAAAGAAATTCCTTAGAGACTCGCCAAAAAGAAAGGAAAAACAATTATGATGCATGAAAGCCAAAAGTTGCAACTGCAACTCTCTACGCTCCTTTTGCTTTTCCGTTTTGTTGGCAACCAAATAGAAAATGTTGACAGCTCCCAATTTCAGACAGTCGGCAAATAAGCAATAGCAAAAACAAATATGCCAAATGGGAACAACTATCTGCTTCCTCGTCAAAAATGGCAAAGCCAAAGTATCATCATTATAAAGCCAGAACAGCTGTATTTATGACACATGCCGTAAAACTCACATCAAAAATATCATTTATGCTGCGTAGAAGCCAGTTTTTTTTGTTTTTTTTTTTTTTGCTGGGCTGGATTTTGGCTGCTCTGCGGTCCTGCGCCTTTGTTTATGCAGCAATTTATGACATGCAAAGCAGAAGCAAACACATGACACA